ATTACCCACTTGATCATCTGTCCCGACGACTCCATGGTCGTCAGGGGCCGTTTGATTGGCTGGTCCGTGTATATGACCACCGGATGTGCCAGGAAATAAGGCTTCAATTTCTTTACTGCCATGTAAAGGGCGAGTCCAAATTTCTCCACCAGTGGGTACCTCAACTCTGCATTCTTCAAGACTGACAAAGTAGACTGGGAGTTGGCAGCCATCTCTTTCAGCTAAGAGAACGGCACTTAAAGCATGATATGATACTGCGAGATACATGTAAAGTACTTCTTTTGGCAAAGGGCTAACTAGGCTCGGCAGGAAGTGTAGGTGTTCTTTTAACTTCTGGAAGGCCGACTCAGCATCCGGCCCCCATTCAAACTTTACTTTCTTTCTTATTGCCTGGAAAAAGTAGAGGCACTTGTCGCCTGCCCGACTGAGAAACCTTCCGAGAGCTGCGAGGCAGCCTGTTAGTCTTTGTACCTCTCGAACGGTACGAGGCGACAGCATGTCTATGACCGCATGTACCTTTATTAGGATTTGCCTCTATTACCCTTTGATTTATCAGAAATCCGAGAAATTTCCCAGACTCAACTCCAAAGACACTTTTTTGGATTAAGCATGACTCGGTGCCGCCTGAGTGTGGCGAATGTTTCTCGGAGGTCAGCCAGATGGTCTGTTTGGAGTTTTGACTTTACAATCATATCATCAATGTACACCTCCACGTTTCTTCCAATTTGTTCAAAAACACAGTGTTTATCATTCTTTGGAAGGTTGTCGGGGCGTTCTTCAGACCAAACGGCACGACTGTGTAACAATAGAGTCCCTGCTCTGTGACAAAGGCAGTTTTCTCTTGATCTTTTTTCCACAATGGGATCTGGTGAAAGCCTGAGTAGGCATCCATGAAGCTCATCAAGACATGGCCGGCTGTTGAGTCGACCAGCTGTCGATCTTTGGCAAAGGATAACTGTCTTTCGGACATGCCTTGTTCAAATTAGTGTAGTCCACACACATGCGCCAGGAACCATTCGGCTTTTTGACTAGTACAACATTTGCAACCCATTCGGGGTAGAAGCACTGCCGAATGTATCTTGCATCAAGTAACTTCTTTACCTCGGCGGCGGCCGCCTGGTTTCTTTCTTCGCCATGATGCCTTTTCTTCTGCCGTACCGGCTTCTTTTTAGGGTCGACAGCTAGCTTGTGTACCGCCAGGTCTAGACTAATTCCTGGCATCTCATGTACCTCAAATGCAAAAATGTCCTGGAAATCTTTCAACAGTTGGCGTAGATCATCACCAAGTTCAATCAGAGTAGTCGTCCCAACCTTGACAGTACGGTCAGGACGAGTGTCGTCTAGGGCAACATCTATGTGCTCCCCAGCTGGCTGAGGGCGGAATTCATCAGGTCGCTCCTCAGCCAGTGATTACTATTGCTTATGCTTTTTCGTGACCTCCGTTTCGGAGGCTTTTCTCTTCGTGCCGCCTGCCTCATGAGCAGGCGCCTCTTCTTTGGCTTGGCCAGTGGGGCCGACTGAAGTTACCGTTGTTTTGATGTCAGTGAGGTAACATTCTCTGGCCATTCTCTAGTCCCCCCTTATGGAATCGACTGTTTTGTCATCCTTCTCAAACTTGAGTAACATAAGGGATGGAATGATAACCACTTTAGATTCATTAAGGGTGGGACGTCCAAGGATCAAGTTGTAGGCGGTAAGTTCCTCCACAACCAAGAAACGAATGACCATGTGGCGGCCCTCGCCTTTCTCACCTAGTCGGACGGACAAGTCAACCTGGCCAATCGGATGGACGACTCCCCCTCCAAATCCTACTAGAGGATGGGAGACAGGCTGTAAACTCTCAGGCCTGTACTTGAGCTTGGTCAAGCACTTATGACTGATGAGGTCCGACGAACTCCCTGTGTCAATAAGTATTCTGCCAACTCTTTGATTCACCACTTTACACTCGATGACAATTAGATCGTCGTGTGGCCGTCGGACACCACCTGAGTCTTTCTCATAAATGATAACCTCGGGAAACGAGCTACCAGAAGCTTGCCCTGATTAATAGAGTTAACATCCAGTCGCCTGATGTTATCTTTGTTTCCCCGAATAGTTGTGCCTCCCCCTGCATAGCCGCCTGCTATTGTATAGATGGCGGCTTCATCAGTGTCAGAGTTGTCGGTCGGTTTCTGCCTTTTTTGTTTGGCCGACTGATTCTGTTTGAAAGGCTGTTTTCTTTTAGGTTTCTTGACATAAGAGTCCAGATCACCTTTTTCAGCCAACTGATCTAACAGACGCTTGAGATTGATACATTCGTTGGTCTCATGCCCAACGTCCTCATGAAAATGGCAGTGCTTGCCTTGGTTGCGCTTGCTAGGATCGCCCTTCATAGGTGTCGGCTTCTCGAGTGAGAGTCAGCCCTTAATCTCTGTGAAAATGGCATGATTATCTTTGTTGAACTCATACTTAGGGGAGTATGGATTGAATTCCTTTCTCTTTTTGCTAGACGGCTGACCGGTGGAGTCGGCCATCCAAACATCTTTTCTCTTCATCTCTTCCTTGGGGGCCGCTTTCTGTGAACGACCCTCCTTTTTCTCGGACCTTTTCTGGTCCCCTTGCTTTTCCATGTGACAGAGGTCAACCGCCTGTACGTAGGTCTCGGCCTCCATCATTGCCTCTTGGAGAGTAGCCACTCTCTTTCTGACTAAGTCGAATTTGAAGTTCGACCCGTCCTTAAGAAATCAGTATAGGCTACTTCATCCGGCAGTTTCTCATCAGATTGAATCTTTTTATATAGGAGCGTAGTCCCTCCTTTTCTCCCTGCTGGACGGCTCCCAGATCAAGAGTCGTCTTCCTCGCAGGTATGTTCATGGAAAAGTTGGAAGCAAACAAATAGGACAATGTCTTGAAATTGTTGACACAGCCGGCTGGCAGGTTGCCGAACCACTGTTGGGCAACTCCTTTCAGAGTGGCCGGGAAACATCTGCACCATGTGGCGTCGTCCAACCCTTGAAGGTACATTACATTGGTGAATGTCATCAGGTGATCCTCTGGGTTAGTGGTGCCATCATAGGCGCCTACTAACACATTTTTCACTTTAGCCGGCTAGGCGACTTGTAAAATTTCCTTGGAGAAGGCGGTTGGTTGTTCTCCGAGTTGAAGTAATCGCAGTTGCCAGTCCATAGGCTGGACATTCTTTGCCGTCTGACCTCCAAAAGGAGGAGGTGGCAAAAAGTAGTGAGCTTGAGGCACATATGGCGGCTGAAGGACATATGGTGCCGACTGTTGTTTATGAGAGCTAGAACCGGAGAGTGTGATGCCTGTTCGAATCTCATAGTTTGATTTTGAATGTTTCAAAGAAGTGTTTTTACACTATCAGGAAAGTCAGAAGTGGAAGCCGACTCAGACTGATGTTGGCTTCTTTTCTACTGAATCAGAATCCAGGCGTCTGAGTAAGATTTCTTTGAGCCGTCTGGTTAAACCAGGCGAATCGGTTTTCTTCCTGATGAGTCAGGGAAACGGTGCTTGGATAGGTAAATTAGAGGTACCCGCCTCTCCTCTTGGCGAGGGTGGGGGGTCGCCTCACGGTCCTTCGATGACTTCTTCTTTCCTGAATTGGAGGGTTTTTTGCTCGACTGCCCTTTTTGGGAAGCAGTCGTCTTTTTGTTGATGAAATCTTGAATCTCACCCTTGAAACTTCTCATGATGGTCATGAGGTCATTCCTTGAGACAGGAGCAGTCTAGTCGACCGCATGATGAGAGTCGGCTGAATGTCCGACTGTTTGGCTTGGACCAGCCTGGTCTTGTCGTTCCTGTCTTTCACGAGGTGTAGTGCGTCGAGCCCTTAAGGACCCATCCGGGGCCGTTCGAGTCTCAACTTCAGGCTCAGTGTCTTGATCAGAAGAAACATGAGGCTCGTCCTCTTGGCAGTCGCCCAAGGGACGTTTGTCGCTATTAGTCGGTACAGATTGTGACACCACCTCAAAGGTACTCTCCCCACAGACGGCGCCAAAATGTTTCGAGGTTTTCTGGTGTCCCACGGGAGAGTTACAACTTCGAGGCCGGAACCACGCGCCTGCACCTGCAAAACAACGGAGACTCCTTGGGTAGGGAGCTCCGCCTCCAACGATCAAGTTAATGAATGAAGGAGTTTAGGATGCGGATAGTAAATAGGCGTCGGATGCTAGGACGGGTCTAGCAGTCGGTACCGAGTGGTGTGTGATTGTCTTGGGATTTGTGCAATCCGTGTGTTTCTGGTGAACAGTCTCTGTCATTAATGAGCATTTATGACGGTATTTATAGCATGAAAGCGTGCCAGATCCTAGGGTTTTTGGCCAACCCTAAGACTGACCGGGCTTTCTTGGGATTTAGGCCCAAGTGGCCAATTGTTTGGGCAAAGCTGAATGGCCACATGGCGTGGCATGAGGTGTCCATGGTGGACCAGCAGATGTATGCCACGTGGCAAGCCCGGAGTCGTCCAAATGGAAGACACTTGTCTAAACTCGACTATGCCACGTGGCGAGCTGTGATTGGGTGGGAAAATCCCCCTAATCAAGTTATACTTTAAGAGAGCTATTCACTACAATATCCTGTTCTTCTACTTTAAGACACCCTACAAGAAATGTTGCACTCCACCTCATCCCTCTAATCTAATGTTACCAAAACCTCCTCATACATTTGGTCTTCTAGCATTCCAATGACAAGAAAAAGATGGACTATATTCACTCCTACTAAAGAATACACAATCTTAAAACGAGTTTATTTCTTAAAATCATAATCTAGTATGAAAAGATAAACTTGAAAAAATCATACTAACTCTGTTCTGATTTAAATGCAACCAAGTGGTATATTTTGTTGGACATGTATTCCTTCCGTTGGCATTTATTTTGAAATCGAGGAAGAATTCAATAAACATCTAATTTTAAAAAACTAAACCACTTCAGAAAATTGGATATGCAATTCAGGAAAGATGAGCCACCTAACTATTCCCATGAGCAAAAAGAATTTTTTCTTGGCAATGAGCAAAAAGAAGAACCTCACAAAAGCCTTTATTCTGCGGTTAAGGTCTAACAATGCATTAAAGCTCTAAACAATTCTGAAGAGCTTTCAGATCCTCCAACTCACCACACATAACTCAAAAGACATGTTCTACCAACATTTTTCTAGTATGCAAGCACCAAATCTACATAAAATGTCCGCTAAAATAGTGCTCACCTAACTTCTGAAATCATCATTTCACGACTAAAATACACAATTCTTACCACTTCTCATGGGTTAGGGGGGACAATATCTGCATAATAATCTCGGTAATGAATAGGAACCAAGGGGGGATACACAACAGTGTGCATCAAACCAGAAGGCATGTAATCGTGTGCTGGATCAATGCCTTCACGAAGCAAATCTGGACCCGGAGAGAAACGGGAATTGACGTAGTATATTTCATTAGCCACAACTCTCTCCCTACAATTTTTTCAACAAAACAAATGAAATAAATAATTTTTCTATAATTATAATAAAAGTTACAAAAATAAAATTTACTTACACATAGTCTGTTGAGGATCTGCGGTGGAGTTCAAAAAGCTGCGCAGAATGTATGTAGCATGGGCGAATTGAGCCAACAAAAGTGATTTCATCAACCGGTTTATATTTGTAATTTTTCAGTGTTGCTTCAGCAATTATGCCACCCGGAGCAAAAATCTTGTAACGGTACATATTGAATAGCGGCTGCTGCGGTCGTGGGATGGGAGTCCAGTCGACGTTACCCGAAGTGCTTACGAAGGCATGGGAGAAAGAAGAGCGTGTGGAGAGTGGCTGTGGTCCACGCATCATATAAAGGTTGTAGTCGCAGTATTGCTCTATGGGAGTGTCTCCTTCCTCACGAGCATTAAAACCTTCAACAAACACCCTCGATGGAGGCAAAACACTGTATCGAAAAACTGGAAAGCGACAATCCTCTAGTGACCTTTCCACCAAGTACAAATTCGATGCAATACTACGGTCGATTACGTGGCCCTGTAATATAGAAATATACAGAAGTTGGTTGGCCTGGGTCCCTTCATTAGCGTCTTTATCAATAGAAGCGCGTACAGTGTTATCTAACAAGGAGCGTGCCGGCTGCATAATTCTGTTTGGGCAAAAATTTATTACAAAACAGACCAATAATCACAAATCAGACCAATACTACAAACTCAAACCAAAAACATCACAAATTCAAACCAAAAAAGTCACAAAATACAACAATTCTGTTTACATTACATTTACAGTAAATCAAACCCAAAAATGTCTCAAATTCACACCAAAAAAGTCACAAATCAAACCAATAATTCAGACCAACAATCGTCACAAATCAGGCCCAAAATTCAGTCATGAATTTGGACAAAAATTTGTCACAAATCAGACCAATAATCATCAAAAAATCAAACCCCATTGTGTGAGAGACAAAAAATAAAAATTCAGTCCCAAATTTGGACAAAAAACGTCAAAAATCAAGTCCGAAAACGCCCAAAAATCGGACCAAAAATCAATCACAAATTCAACGCAAATCAGTCATAAGTTCTCCACAGTTTAACCAATTAAAGCATCAAATTTGATAAATTTAATAACAAATCAACAATTTCAAAGAACATACACACTAATTGACTAGATTAAATAACATAAACAACTCAATTAAGCACAAAATCAACCTAACAAGTCAACAATTAGTGTATAATACGAAATTAAAAACTTGAAAATCAATTAAATTACCTAGATCTAGAAGGCTGTAGGAGTGGAGTGCGGCTGTGCGGACGTGCGGTGGGCCACTGGGCTGTGGGCGGTGGCTGGAAGCTGCAGCGGCAGCGGTGTGCCGGTGTGACGATTTCCGTGAGAGTGTGAGACAGTGACTTTGAAATTGTCGATGAGAGAGAAAGTAATGTCACTGTTTTGTTTTATTTTTCCTTTCAATTTTTTTTCCCTTGCAATTTCGTTCGGCCTTCACGTTGTTTTGTTTTTATAAAATTTTATTTTATTTTTTTTGCTAGGTCACGTGACCCACCATGACCAAGGGTGGGTCAGCCACTGCCCACATTATTTATTTTTAATCTAACAGTTTCATCAAGAAGTAAGTATTCAACCTTTAACTGACAGACCTCAATAGTGTTAACAAATGACTATCGAAGAAAGACACTTCCCTAACAGCGGCTGCACGGGATGGATGAAATACAATAATAATCATCGTAGTGAAGAAACGGAACAAAAAACCAAATATAATACACAAGCAACTAAAATTGAAAAAATTCACCAACGAGAACAGAAAAACGTTTAAGAAAATTCGAGAAGAAAGAAACAAGAAAAAAAAAAAAGCAACTCGGGGGAAGGGGGCAATCGAAAAATGTAAGCTGGACCAGACATAAGCGAGTGAACTTAGATCGTCGAAGGCAGGTATTAACATGTCACACACACTTAATAATAATAATAATAATCTATTACTATATTTAATAATAGGGTGTTTGCATACATTGTTGAGTCATGGCACTTCCATACTATTTTTATTACATTATTTTTTTAAAATCCCTAAAATTTTATTTATTCGATGAACAAATGCGATTTGCAAAGAAAAAAAATACTTTTACATAGTATTATAGTAATTTACAATATATATACTTCCTCCTTTACGTATTATCTGCAACAAACATTGCTGCATGTTTCCCAAGACAAAATTTGTTAATGGTTGATTAACGAAGTGAAGGGTGTGTGATTAAGGGTAAGAGAAAGAAAGGGGGGTAATTAATTAATGGCCACCACTACCAACTGCCATGGCCTCCCTGACACCACCTACCAGCAGCAACATCCACCACCACCCACATCCACCTACTCGCTGCTACCCCGTAACCACCACCACCATGCTCCGAAACCCCACCAACCAAATCGCGGAACCCCACCACCTGAGCGAATTCCCGGAATCCCACCACCAGTATAATACCGAAACCCCAACAGCCACCACCTAAAACCCCACCACCAGCGAATTCCTGAAACCCCACCCTAGCTTCCATTCACCCTCCTCGCAGCAAATCGAAAGCCACCTTGCAGCAGGAACCCAACCCACCTCACTCACTTGTAGGCCGCAGCGGATCGAAATCCACCACGAACACCAACCCTTCTCTTTACATCCGAATTCAGTCAATTTTCTAACATCGCACACCATTTCTCTCTCTTTAATTCGATCTGAAATCCTTATATTGAGACGAAGAAGAATGCGACTGGTGGTGGTGGCGGTGACGATAAAGAAGATGAAACCTAGAAGAAGAAGATGAAGAAGATGGTGTTGGTGGTTGTAATGGTGGCCTTGGTTTCGGTGGTATGGTGTCGAAGGTGTTCGTGGTCTGGTGCGGTTGTAACACCCCCAAATCTCCCTCTACATAATACTATATTTATACGTATAAAATACCGTATAAAATAAGTACATACAAGTGCAAGGCATGTAAATACTTTTATTAGGTAAACATGCTTTCGAAAATAATTTAATTTCTTAAATGTAAACATGCCAAAATACGACTTTCTCAAAATTCAACACTTTCCAAAAATTAGACTTATTTCCAAAACCGATTTTCCTCACCTAACTGTGCACATCCCCCCAAGCAAGTTAAACTATACTCGAGGAAAGATCAGATCATACAAAGTTCATGGTCTTACTTAACCAGTCCCGGGTATAGGGACAATAAATATCAAATACTCGGGCCCATATTGAGCTGCAAATTTAATTCAATAACTTGTAACCAGTAATTTATAAACAACTTTTATTAAACTAATCAAACCTTGAAGTCGTGAAAATTATATTTTTAACTCATCACGAAAATTATTAACTCAAATCTTGATACGAACATTTACTTAAACAATTATAAACATTCACCAAAACATGCATTCAAAACTTATATTAAGGACCTAGACACCTATACGTACCTTGATCACGAGAAATAAAGGTACGACTACACTTGGTCACGATCAAAAGAATTCTCCTAAAATTTAAACAACTTTAATTAATATACGGTTAACAAATAATCCCAAAATTATAAACAATACACTACTTGTGCATGAATTACTGAAACTATTAACCTTATATTAAATAAAACTTTAATAGTTTATGTTAGTATCAAAAATAGTGATATTAGTATTAAAAAAATGTAATGTTAGTATCAATAAAGCATTAGTATAATACATTAATGATATTAGTAATTAGTAATGATACTCATGATGATAATAAGATAGGAAGCAATTATTATTTTGTTGTTGTTCTAGTTTCTTGCGGCAAAAGAAGGTTGAAAGAAAGAAAGTACCATCGCACCTTAGCTTGTCGGCAGCAAGTTACAGCAACAGTGAGGTGGCGGAAGGTAGTGGTGAAATGGCTAGTGTTAGGGCACAGTATGGTGGCAGTTGGCAGCAGCAACGGTGGTGCGATTGCGGTGTTTATTTGAGCAAACAAGAAAGGAAAATAGAGGGAGAAGGAGAGGGTCGTAAGTTGAGAAATAAAGTAGAGAATTTTCTGATTTTTGATGTGAATAAATGGGAGTAACTGGTGTGAATTTTAGTCCTAAAACTAAAACACACAAGGATATGAATCAAGCTTAATTCTATATAGGAAAATCCACCAAGAATTAAACAAGAAACTAGATTAATTAACTAAGAATCCACCTAATTAATCAACCCAAACGAATGTTTTAACTAAAACAAGCAAAACAACAATTGAAATCCATCAATTAGAACTTAAGTGTTTAAACACAAAACAATGCAATAATAATCTGATTAATTCGTGTGCTTACAAACATTATTTATAGGCTAGACTCTCCTAGGAAGACTAGGATAATTCCCTAGTTTAATCCTAAGCAAACTAGACTTTTAAACCAACTTGGAGAACAAGGAAACAACTCCTTGAACAACAAGCTTAGTACACATGGTTTACATAACTAATCAATTAAGATATAATTTGATTAGTTATCTAATCCAACTAGAACTCTAACTAGCCCTAGGATAAGATTTGCTTAGTTTCCTAAAACAAACCAAATCCTATCTTTAATCAAGCTTGCTCACCAAGCTCTTAATTACACGCCTAAACACACGCTTAATTAAACTAATTAAAGAAACGAATTTAACTAACTCCTAATTTAAAGAAACTAATTAAAAGCTTAAAGATCCTAATGCTTGAACCAAGAAAAACCCTTTCAAGTGAAAGGTAAAAACTTGTAAGCAAAATCTAAGTAAAGAAAATTAAAGAAAGTAGTTTAGACTCTAAGAAACGCAACCAAGCAAACCGTAGCTTTGCTTTGGTATCCAAGAAGGTGTCCATGCAATGCTTGACTTGAATCATCAATGTTTAGAGACAAGCTATCTTGATGCATGATAAGCAAATCTTCGAAATTCTCCATGCTTAGACTTGCATCAGTAACTAAGGGTCTATTTATAAGTGTTTAAGGGTAGGAAGATAGAGTTCAAGAGAGTGTGGGATTAGTACAAAAACAAGATAAATTTAGGTTAGTTAAATGAATTTGAATGTAATTTGGCCTAGGTTAAGTTACGTGAGAACGAAATCAAATGAAAAAGATGAGAAAATAAAATAAGATTAATATTGATTTAGTTGGAGGAGTAAGGATAGAAATCAAAGTAATCTAGAAATTAACTACTTAAAGGTTAAGAAATATGATATCATTCCCAAAACATATGGCCAACAAGGTTTTTTTTTTTTTTTTTTTCTAACGAAAATCAGATTTTAATTAATAAAATAAATGATATTGATAAAAATACAAATGTATTAAATATTTTAGATAATATCAAAACTAAAAGTAGTTTTAAATAATAAGATGATAATTAAAATTGTTGAATATTATTAATTGATAAAATTCAGAAAATAATATAGTTGAGTCCAAATTAAAAGTACGTACAACATAAATTTTTATATTAATAAAATATGGACTGACCAAGATAATTAATTATTGTTAATTTAGAAATACAAAAAAAAAATTAAATACTTATATTTTGGCTCCAAATTCAAATAATCAAAGAAATAATTAAGAAAGTATTTCTCAAAATTCGGGGTATTACAGTGGTGGTTCTCATGGTGGTCGATGATGATGGTGGTGGTGGCAGTAGTAGGCAAGGGAGAGGAGTTGTTTAATTATTAATGTTAATTAATCTAATTAATTTAAATTAGCAACTAAAATTATGCTTTTAGTTCTTAAACAGGGGGTATTATAGTAATTTCATTTTAAAAACTTACCAAAAAGGAAAGAAAAAGTTTATGTTGCACATAATGTGTAGTTTCCCTTTTTGACAAATGTTGCAGATAATATGTAACGGAGAAAGTATATATATATATATATATATATATATATATATATATATAGTGGAGGAATCCGGTAAGAACCCCTCCTTATATAAGAACCCTAGTGGGTAAATAAGAACCAATCTTAGCCGTAGGATTAGATTGAAATAGATTCTCTAGATTAAGAGAAAGCAAGTAATGGAATTATAACACGAAACTGACAACCTACATATATATACCCCAAATTTTCTCTCTCCTCAAACATAACCCTCTCTTCCTAGAGTTCCTACCACACTCTCTCTCCTAAAACCCCCAAATTTACTTCGAAAATCACCAAAATTGCTGCTATTTGAAGGAAATTCCAAGGATTTCTTATTTTAATTTTCACTCAATTTCAACAAAAATTATTGTTCATAGCATAAACTTACATTAAACAAGTTTAATTGAGCAATCGATTTGCCAATTTTGTAATTTCGAACCCTAGTTTGATGCATTAAACAAGTTTAATTCAGCGATTTTAATGTTCGAATTTCAGCGATTTTAATGTTCGAATTTCAGCGATTTTAGTGTTTGAATTTCAGCAATATGAGGTAATTTCACCGCTACTCTTGATTATTAGATAATTTCAGTCCACTTTTTTGGATTTTTTTTTTGTTTTTTGGCGTCATTTTTGGTGAGTGATGGTGGAGGTGGAGGGTGAGTAATGGTGGTGCGGTGGTTAGGAGCAGCGTGGGGTGCTGCTGAATGGTGATTTGGTGGTGCGCGGCTGAGTCTGAGTCTATTGAGGCACTACACAGAGACAACCGTGTTGTTGTCCAGTGCCCAATAGTGGAGGTACGATCAATTGGGCCAATGCTACGATTGTTTGGGGTGGATATTTGTAAAGCTCCAATTGTGATTAGTGCAAATGTGGTGGCCGAAGTGACGACTTGAAATGGATGTGGTAATGGGAAGAGGTTAAGGGAGGTGGAGTTGTTGACCATGGAGTCAAGTAACAAGAAGCAGATGGTGGTTGCTGCCTTGTGACATCTAATTAATTGATTTTG